CAAGCAACTCAGGATATACTTTACAGAAACAAGAAAATATTTTTTTCTATTTAGAGGGTAATGACTAGTAATACAGTTCTTTGCTGCAAATATCCATGGAGAATCATTATGTACATGGCTGGATATCCACATATGTCCATTGTTTACTCAACATTATTCATATAAAAATTCAAAGATCCTTCCAAGTGTCCTGTCCCACGTACAATTTATCCAGAAAGTTTCTGATTTCTTATTAATTTTATTCACTAATGACTTGTATGCACTTAGAAAACTTATAAAGAATCCATATCTCTTCCACAAATGCTTACATTAATGGTTAATAAATGATTAACCCAATAGTTAATGGTTAACCAAAAAAGTAATGTTCTGCTAGCTGGTTCAGTTTTCATTTAGTACCAGTAAAAGAGTAGCATCTTTTATTGGTCCTAAATGAATTCATATGTAAGAGCTAATCTTAAATCTTTTTTATATTAAACTTTCTACTCTGAGATCATTATAGATTCTGAGGTAATTACAGGTTCGCAGCAGCTGTAGGAAATAATTTAAAGAGATCTTATATACTTATACCCAGTTTCCATCAATGGTAACATCTTACAAAACCATAGGGTTTGGCACTGATAGATAGACTCAAAAATATTTCTTTCAACCCCAAGGATCTTCTATGGTACCCATTTAGTCACATGCACCTCTCTTTTCAACCTTGTCATCCCTAATTACTATTCTTTATCTCTAGAGTTTAGCATTTCAAAATGTTATGTAAGTGTAACTAGACAGTATAAAAACTTTGACAATATTTTGTTGTTATTCAGCATAATTTTCTGGAGAGCCTTCCTAGTTTTTGAGAGTATCATAAATTAGTTCCCTTTTATTGTTGACGAATATTCCATGCACTAACATACACCTCAGACACCTGGGCCTACGAAAACAGGACAAGAACGCTATTCGGATCACCCAAAGAGGAATTGAAAGAGCTATGCTTGGAATATCACATTTCACTCAAGTGAGAGAAGGGATCCAGAGTTCCAACCTCTGTCATTGATCAAGAATCGGGGACGCTGTCTCATTTGCCAAGGCGTCAACAATCAGATGGGCTGAACACGTAATGCAATTTAGAGACAACCGCTGGACTAGAGCTGTTACTGACTGGATTCCACGGGATGTCAAAAGGACACATGGCCGCTCACCTATGAGATGGTCAGACTTCTTCCTCAAATTGAGATTGACGCTCTTTGTGTTCCTGGAGCAAGCAGGTGCCACTGGGCTACACTAGCACGTGACAGGGACAAATGGAGAGGTTCCTGATGCCCCATTGAGCAAATCGAAGATCATTGGGATGGCAAGTGATACAAGTGAATATTCCATGCATCACAATTTGTTTTATACGGCACCCATTGAAGAATATCTGATTATTTGTTTTTTGTTTTGCTTTCAGGTATTTTTTTCTTTCTTTGGTTGTTTGTTTGGGGGCTATACCTCTTAGTGCTTAGGACTGAATCCTGGCTCTGTGCTCAGTAATAACTCCTGGCACAGCTCATGGGACTATACAGGATGCTAGGGATTAAATCCAGGTAGGCTGCATGCAGAGCAAGCCCCTTCCTGCTGTACTATCTCTGCAGCCTCCCGATTACAGTTATTTAATATTATGAATTAAACCAGATGTACAAGCTGTTGGATTAAATTAAATTTTCATTTTTATGGGGAAAACCACCCTGGAATGCAGTTGTAGTGGAGCTGCATGTTCTGCTTCATGCTCATTGGCCAGTCGGCATTCTAGATAACTGTTCCATCATACATTCTCACCAGTTTAGAGGACTGATCCATTTTCTCTGTATCCTTGATAATAATGATTGTTTTTACTATATTCTAGCAATTGTAGTAGTTGTACAGTGGTATTCCTTAGCAGTTTTAGTTTGCAGGTCCCCAATAACTATTGATGTGACTTTTTGTGTATCTTTAAATGTGTTCATTTGCTGTTTCTATATACTTTTCAGTGAAATATCTGCACATTATTTCCACTTTCTAGTTATATTTTTTAAAATGAAATTGTCCAGGGGACTGGAGAGATAGTACAGGGGAAAGCCACTTGCCTTGATTTAAGTGGGTTCATTTCCAGTCACCCCATAAGTTTCCCTGAACCCCACCAGGAGTGAGCCCTGAGAGCAGAGCCTGGAACAAAGCCCTGAGTATCACAGGGTACGTTGTGTGGTGTTTGTTGTCTGTTCTATGCATTAAAAAGGCTATCCTCACCCCAGTCACATTTTTTCTTTTATAAAAAAATTATTGAGCATATTTTGTCTTGATGTTACAGCAACATAGCTTTTTACATTGGTTGAGAGCATTTTGTCAGGGGAGGTGGGGATAGCCTTTGTAATGCATATTGGTGCTGCTCAGAACTTTCTCCTGGCTCTGCATTTAGGGCTCACTCCTGGCAGGATTCAGGGCACTGTATGTGGTGGTAAGGATTGAACTCAGATCAGCCATGTGCAAGGTAAGCACCCTACCCACTACACTATCCCTCCAGAGAGCACTTAGCCTTTACTTTGATTAGCATGATCTCTCCTACTTTATTCTTTTATTTTATTCTTCCCATTCTTTATTTTTCTTTTAGCTATTCCAAGGCCTGTTTCTTAAAGTTGCTCAAACTGGGGAGAACCAACAACTCTACAATAACCGAATCTGCTATGTCTCATTTGTTTAGGCCTTTGATTTCTCAGTAGCATCCTTTAGTTTTATTTATTTATTGGTTTGGAGGCCACACCTGGAGATGCTTAGGGCTTACTTCTGGCTCTGCACTCAGTAAAAACTCGTGAAGTGCTAGGGGGCCAAACGGAATGCTGGGAATGGAACCTGGGATATCTGTGTGCAAGAAAAGCACTCTACCCACTATACTAACACTTTGACCCCAATTATTAGCATCTTTTAATTGTAATCATACAGATCCTATACGTGTTTTGTCTAATTTATTACTCAATATTTATTTTATATAAATGATATTTTGTTTTAAAATTGCTCCTGCCTTTGAAATTAGTATGTAGATATACATATGCCGACCTTGCATTCTCAGACATTACTGCATTCACTTACTAGTTATAGTATTTTAAAAAAGATTCTTCAGAATTTTCTATGTATACAATCATGCCATCTATAAATGAGGATACTTTCATTTCTTTTTCTCTGATAATGCTCATTATATTTCATTTTTAAGGATGCCTTATTAACGTATCTAGAACTTCTAGAATGGTTTTCAACATTTTAGTCGATGTAAATTTCTAGAGATCTGCTAAAGCTTTCTGACCAGAAGGGAACCTATTAAACCAAATCTATTCATTTGATACTTTCTATAATTTACCTGTTTAGATTTTATTTCCTGTCATTTTGGGAAAGTCTTGTAAAGCTTATGTGATTATAAATAGCACCCACATGGCCAGCTACTTTGAAGCAGTGAGCTGGCCTTTAATGAGCTCATGGAACCAGATGACAAGAGTAATTCTAGCTTAAGGGACATTATCCATAGGCAGACCAGGAGTGATGCTCTGAGATCTAGGTTTAAAGTTAACATAGGAACTAAAGGGTTATTTGTTCAGGGTAATTTTTTTCCACTCTTACTTTTTGTTAAGTAGCAATAATTTTCAACTTGTAAAACATAATACAAACACAAATTTACTTCTTTCTTATATACTAAAAGTTGCCGCTGTTAGAAGGTCCTTTGAAAACTGACTTTCAGTAAAGAATTATACACATATTACTCTGCTTTTGCTTACAGGCACTTAAAATATATGATGACAACTCACTCTCTTCATGGCTGAATTTTTAAAACAAAAGTATAACCATTACACTTTCATTTCTCTAAAATGTATCTTTTGTATGTGCGCACACACACACACACACATATATATAGTGATATTTTTCTGTAGTACAGCATGCCTAACCCACCAGTATAGACTTAGAGTCATTCTAGAGATGCAGAAAACTGGGTACCTACTAGATCTTTGAAAGATTCCAATATGAGATTACCCGAATGTGTACAACACATAGCAGATTTAGAGGTCTACAAAGCTATTGTAGAGTTTTTAGAAAACACCATAATCTCCTGAATATAATTCACAGAAAAATTTAAATGTGTAGTCAGAATATCCAAAAATATCTGAGATATCCAAAAAATCAAATATCAGGGACTTTTGGGGGAGCACAATTCAGTGGCCAACTTATAAGAGCTTCAGCTTTTCATCCATTTCCCTGCTTCTATACTCCCCATGTATTTCAGCAACTCTCCTCCTCTGCTCCTAAAACCAGACATCTTCATTCATATATGCTAGGAATTCTGGAGTCACAGCTCAGGAAGCTGGTGGAGCTTCTCTGAGTCTTGGTTCTCCTTTCCTTAAGCAGTAGCAAGATGACCCTGTGTACGGCCTGGCCTGAGGTTGGACAGAAAACATTCTTTCATTTACTGGCTTCTTTCCTTCTCTCTTAAGATGCTGCCTTGACTCCTGCCCCTAGTTCCCTCCCACCTTCTCTCTCTCTCTCTCTCTCTCTCTCTGAAACAAGATGAGTGATTCTTACATTGGACATCACTCTTCCTGCCTTTGAGAACCTGGGGGTCAAGGATTTCGAACTGAAGCTGCATCTCCCTTCACTGCCAGCTCACAGAGAGCAGTGCAATGCACCAAACACCATTCTCACATGGTTCATATTGCATAGTGGGAAACAAGCTTCCCAAGTGACCAATCCATCCCAGCAGAGGTGCTAACACATTTGCAGTTCAACAGCACAGCATGGCACCCATGTAGCAGGGTTCCAGCACTACACACAGCACTGACACTGGGAGACAGGAGGTGGGTCAAGTTCCTTTGGGGTTTCTATAAACTCAGAGCTGAGACCTCCTTTGGGCACAACAAGCAACAAACACACTCTCACAATACATAGCAACCACACCATACATATAGACATACATTGTTTGTTTGTTTTATCTTGAAGAACAAAACAACTGTCTTAATTCTGACAACTGGACAGGTGCTCCCAGGATGATGAGTCTGGCGGAGACAGAGATCTGTGTGAACAGGGATTTGTGACCTGTCACTTGATCTCCTGTTTGCACAGAGCTCCTGGGTCACCCTCTGTTCCATGCTGCCAGGATGATGAGCGGCTTGAGCCCTACATTGAGAGCTCTCTGGTGGCCTCACAGAACAGGCTTCACTCCTGCAAACATCGAGGACTTTGTTCCATCAGGCTTTTCTGGGCACAGCTTTGAAATATTCCTCCCTTGGAATGTCAGAAACTTCTCCGTACCATCTCTGAAGCCAGACACGCGCCACCTGCATCTTCATGAAGAACCACTCATACTGCCGAGGCCACTTCCTCATCACTGGGTGTCTGTGGGGGCAGGGAAAGGATGGCAGTGAAAGTTCTGTCAAACAGATGACCTTGTGGAACCCAGGCCCCGGCCCCATGACCCCAGAACACAGGGTCCTCTATGGGCAGAGACCAACCCAGTCCAGCCTGAGGCAGTATCCGGGGAAGCCAAGGTAGGTTCGAGTCCCAGCTTACTGAGTGATGATTTCTCAAGTCAGGTCTTGTCAGTGGCCATGTGGGGACAGTCGAGGGTGGTTCCAGAACTTTGTAGGGGACAAATTGTTGAGCATGGAGTAAGTCTCCACAAGAGTTATTACTGAGAAACACATGAACTTTGTGTGTCTCTTACAGAACAACCAAAGAATTGAATCTTGAAACAGGTCTGATCATGGGAAGTTTCTGTTCTGCAGTGGGCTTGCAACTTTAGGGTCAGCGGGACATGAGCACAGACACCACCCACGTGCTCACTTTTGCCATTGACTGACTGTCCTTAAATGCAGGCTACGTTTTAAGGGCAGGGTTCAGGGCTCACTTTTTAAAGCATTATAAAAAACAAACATTCGGTTCATTTCTAGACATGTCCTCTATCAAATATTAGAAGGAAATGTAAACTGGGAAGATGAGGGGCAGCAATGCCAATGGAATGATAGGTTAGTTTATTTCTTGCAAATGAAAAAATCCATTTCTAACGAATGTGTTTTGAAGTAACGTCTCCATTTTGAGACTCCTTGTTACTGTGTTTGGCATATCAAATACGTCACGGGTAGAGATACTCTCAGTAACTTGCCGGGCTCTCTGAAGAGGGGTGGAGGAATCGAACCCGGCTCAGCAGAGGTGGCTGCGTGCAAGGCAAATGCCCTACTGTTGCGCTATCGCATGGCCATAAACTTACAGAGAAGCTGAAAGTATAGTCTAAAACTTTTATATCCCTCTAAACATCTGCAAGTAAGTAATTGAGCTGATGAGCTAACACCCTAAATGCTCGTGTGGCCAAGATAATGGAATAATTAGTGATAATTGCTGTTATTTTAAGTAAGCTGGCTCTGTGCTCACAACTGAAACACATTTTGGCACCTGTAAATAAGGGGCAGGTCCTTAATGCAATCAACCCTGGGGACACTGGCTTTGGGTTCACTACATGAGTGCCAGTGGAACTGCTAGTGTCGCCCTTGCTGAACTGCTCTGCTGTGTGCTACACCACGTTTAACAGTTATGTTATAACTGCTAATGTATTTTGTTCTCTCACATTTTGCACATACGAGGCTGCTCTGGTCACTGTCACTGCTACCACATCTCATCAAGCCAGATGGGGCACCACAGGGCAGGAAGACAAACTAAGAAGCTTTTAAAAATTCTGACTACTTCTCTTCTTGTCCCATATCCCACTCAGGACAGGACACTGAACAAAAGCATTTTAAGCATTTCTATGACCTCCCTTAATACACCATAGTATAGGGTGGCAAGGCAAAGTCCTAGATCTTTGCTTGGACCTCTGGGGTTAGCAAGGAACCTGCTACATCATCTAAATGAAGGTCGGTGCTTTTCCTATTTGAATAACTGCCTTCCACTGTGCTCAGAAAAATAAAATCAACTTTATAAGCCCAACTCTGTCATGTTAATATTTTTGCAATGAGAAGAACCTACCAGTGATGGGAATATTTTCACCAACATAAAGACCTTAGGAAGAAAGACCTGTGAGTCATTTAAAAGAAGGTAGAGATGACTTTACTCAGTGCAGGAGCTAAGGAACAGGCGTTGGTAGAAAGTTCGGTAACATCATTGCCTGCTGCCTGAGGAAAGTGGGAGGTGAAAGTCATGAACCCAGGGGTTTACCTAAGATTTGACCTTGTCTGCCTGCATGTCCCATGGAAGAGAGACTGGGACAAAGGAATAATGGATGGGCTTGAAAGTAAGGTGTAGTTACCGGAACAATAGTATAGTGGGTAGGGTGTTTGCCTTGAATGCAACCAACCCAGGTTCGATCCCCATGTTGTTCCCCAGGCACTGCCAGGAGTAATTTTTGAATGCAGAGCTAGGAGGAACCCCTGAACATCCATAGATGTGACCCAAAAAGTAAAAAAAAAAAAAAGCAAGGTGTATGCAGGGCCTGTAGAGAGAGTTCAGTGGGTAGGGCACTTGCCTTCCAAACAGCTGAACTGGGTTCTATCCCAGCTATCCCATTTAGACTTCCTGCCAGGAGTGATCCTTGAAAGTAGATTCAGGAGAAAGCCCTGAGCACAGCAAGGTGTGACTCCAACAACAACAACAACAACAACAGAAAATAAAATAATAAAGTGTATGCACTTGCACACACATCAATGTTTATTTCTCTGGTTCAGTATTTTTCAAAGTGGGTGAACAGCAACTCCCCACTTCCCAGTGATGGGGGTGATATAAACCTTGGGTGTGATTTGGGGATTCTTTCTGTTTATTCTCTTCCCAGAAGGTATTTACAGAGGAAATAGTGAGTGATTGTTTTTCTGAAAAAGAGATGCTTTAGATATTGAAAACTGTAAATTCACTTTAACACAGCAGATTCCAGTCCACTCCAGAACTGTGCTTGCTTTCTCCTTTTGGTGAATTTGTGATCCCCTCTCCAAGGCAGTGAGAAAACGGGCTTCCTTTGCTGTGGCTATTTATTGGATGATTGGCCCATATGTATTATTTGTCCATCCCTATGAGTCTGTTAATAACTCATTCAATTTCCCCCCTGCTTTCATGTAACTCTTTGACTAACTTAAACAAGTGTCACCTCACCCATTTTCACGGCCCATGCCACTGTGGGGTTACCTGCTGTTCCAGGCATGACCTGCACGGATACCATCCCCCCACAAAAAGGCAGCCCCCAAAACCCACCACCCTTCATGCACATCCTCTCCTTACCCTGAGCATCCCTGATGTCTACACTTGTTCACATGCTCACTCATTTGGACCCCCTACAAGCATGCTTCTCGAACTTGAACAAGCACATTCATCCTGGGACATGCCAGTTATATTTTTGACTTCTGAGTTGTATCTGCAAACAGTCCAATGTGGTTAATGGTGGGTCAGGAGTGGTTCAGACACAGGCCTAAGAGGCTCATTCTGAGACACTTTTTCTCACCTCTGACACTCTGCTATGCTTACAGCAGACATTTGAAAATGCAAGGTAACTGATTGTACTGAAAAACCTTGTTCTTTCCACTGGGGAAGTAAAGCATTTGAGGATTTGCATGGGTACACCTATACAAGCATGTGACATCTTGTCAACCCACTGCAAGGTCTGGGCTCTTAAGTCACCTCTTGCAATCCAGAGGCCGTGAGCTGGGTAGTGCTCTATTGAAGGTCAGCTCAGATCGTTTCTGCTATCTGCTTTGTTATTAGTATATTTCAGGGAAAACTAACCAAAATGCAGAGACCAACCTTGAAAACATTGCTTGCTTGGCAAATTCTACTTCTTCCAGTGGCACAATCACCATCTGGCCAGTAAGGGTCAACCGGGCACACCGAGGGTCTTCTGGGTCGACAATAGATTTTCTGCAAGTCAATAACATTTTTCATTAATAAAAATGAGGATAGACCATTAGGCTCAAACACTGATAATTTTCTATAAAATTAAACATAATTGCATTGCTGGTCATATCATTCAGGTGTTTACATTTCACGGGCAGGGTGAGAAGTATGTAAGTTAGATGTCCAGTGCATTCTCAGGGCATCAGATAATAGCGGAGATGCCCTAATCAGAGGTGCGCATGTGCAGGCTGGCCCTAGTCAAGAACCACTGGACAGACTGTACTGCCTTGCCAGTACTATTCTCGGGGCATCATTCTTTGAAAATGACATCAATAGCTCGACTGGAGCAGTGTGATTATCTATCTAGATCCAGCGGTGGCTGAGTATGTTAAGAAGGTTAAACAGGGGGACTGGAGCGATAGTACAGTGGGTAGGAATTTGCCTTGTATAAGGCTTACCTGGGTTCGATCCCTGGCACCCTATATAGTCACCCCAGTCCCTCAAGGAATGATTCCTGAGCCAGGAATAAGCCCTGAGCACTGCAAGTTCTAGCTCCAAAACCAATTTTTCAAAAAAGTTTAAAGATGTCTTCTTATGTCACAATGTTTCTCAGTGAAGTCTTCATATGTCAAATAGGCCTGATTCATGTATGTTTCTCTTCCTAGAAGTTGACAAAGTCATTATTACAGGAAAAGTCATTGCTTAGGATCTCTTTTAAGACCTCTCATATTTACTTTCCCTTTAACCAACTAAGAGAATTTTTATTTCTGAGAAGTTTTGTCTCACAGGTATTAAAAGGTTTAAAAGACAAAACTTAACAAAGAAGCAAATATTTCAATACTAGTAATAAAAAACTTAGCTGTCATAAAACTAGATGCACTAATTCTTTAGTAATTTTTTAGGCAGACCAATGAAGACTTTCACCATAGTATTAAAATACTTTTTGTCTTCTTAGCAAAGTAAAAGCTAAAATCTAATTTTATTATATTTTATATACTACAGATATCAAAACTCAATTTACAATTCAGCTTGAACATATATAATTTTTTTCATGTTCCTTTCGAATTATTTTTTAAGGTTTTTTATTTTATTTTTTTTAATTTATTTTTTATTTTTAGTGAAACACCATGAGGTACAGTTGTAGATTTACAATTTTTTGTGCTTGGGTTTCGATTATACAATGATCAAATACCCATCCCTCCACCAGTGCCCATTTTCCACCACCATGGATAATATCCCTCCCAACCCCATCCCTCCCATCTCACCCTGCCTCTGTGTCAGGGCAATCCCTTGTTGAACATATATAATTTTTTTCTTAAACAGAGCCCTCAAACTTTCTACATGTGCTTTTATATTCACATTCTGTCCAATAACTTATCATTATACTTAACCAATTTAATTTTAATACAGAATTCCTTCTTTTCCTTTAACAAAGATTTCCATCCATTATCTTTTTTACTTAAAATATCTATCTACCACATTGTATAGGTTTTAACCCCTCATTTTAAAAGTACTCAATTAAATCCCACTACTAAACTTAATACCAATGAATTTTCACAAAGGATTTGGGAAAAAAGTAAGATATGCCCTCAAAATAGTTGCAATGTTATATCTTTACATTTATCTGGGTGATGTCTTAATTCAGTCAGCCTGTAATCATTATTTTGCCTGACATAACCTGTTATTTACCCTGTCACTGAGTAGCTCTGAAAATTTAAGTGGCCAACAATCTCAGAAATTAAATATTTGTAAAGATTTCTATCATCTGGTTTAATTGTTAAACTCTCAAGTTTACCTGATAGGGAAATTCCACTGGTATTAGTACAAGCAACTTTTTGTACCAGTCAAAAAGTCTTGACGAGCAAATCAGTTACTTTTTCTTTTAGATAACCATAAATAATTCTGATTAAAAAGTGCATGTAAGAGGCCGGAGCTATAGCACAGCGGGTAGGGTGTTTGCCTTGCATGCGGCCGACCTGGGTTTGATTCCCAGCATTCCATATGGACCCCAAGCAACACCACGAGTTATTCCTGAGTGCAGAGCCAGGAGTAACCCCTGTGCATCACTGGGTGTGGCCCAAAAAGCAAACAAACAAACAAAAAACCCCATCTGATTTCACCAGAAAATGGGGCAATGAAATGAACAGGAAGTTTCTCAAAGAAGAAATTTAAATTGCCAAAGGCACATGGAAAAATGCTATTCTTCACTAATCATCGGGGAGATGCATATCAAAACAACAATGCGATATCATCCCAGACCACAGAGACTGGCACACATCCAAAAGAACAGAAGCACCAGTGCTGGCATGGACGTGGGGAGAAAGGGACTCTCCTTCATTGTTGGATATGCCTACTGGTCCAGTCACTGTCACTGTCACTGTCCTCCCATTTTTCATCGATTTGCTTGAGCGGACCCAGTAACGTCTCCATTGTGACAATTGTTACTGTGTTTGGCATATCGAATACGTCACGGGTAGCTTGCCAGGCTTTGCTGTGCAGGCAAGATACTCTCAGTAGCTTTTCGGGCTCTCCAAGAGGGGCAGAGGAATCCAACTGGGTTGGTCATGTTGGCTGCTTGCAAGGCAAACACCCTACCCGCTGTGCTATCACTCCAGCCCACTGGTTCAGTATTTTTGGAAAACAATATGTATGTTTCTCAAAAAAATTCGAAATTGAGATCCCACTTGACCAGCAATACCACTTCTGGGAATATACCCTGGAGGCCCAAAACACACTTCAGAAATACCATCTGCACTCCTATATTTATTGCAGCACTATTCACATAGGAGGATGTGATCAATCTATCAGGACGTCGGAGGGCAGTCATCTTGGTCTTGTAGTTGGCGAAGGACAGGCGGGCGTTACGAATACTTTTCCCGGCTTCTGCCGCATCTACCAGTACTTCTGCTCTTCTCTCTTTGAGGTTTTCCTTGATCGCATCTCTGCACTGCTTTGTGAGCTCGGACTTTAGCTTGCGGTTGCCTGAGGCATGCGCCAAACCACGCTGGCGAATTAGCTCAAGAGTTTTCGAAGATAGGCGATTTTTTGTGGCTATCTCTCTCTTGGCGTTCCTCGCACATTCGTGGAGGTGCTGAACCAGTCAATCGTATTCCTCGTCAATGTTGTCAACAATGGCATCTTCCCATGTTGCCGCAATAGTACCAAAGAGTTCCCAGTTGGTGGTCATTCTGGGAGTTCTCTTTTTGAACTTTGCAGCCCTTTCTCCCTGCTCTGTGAAGTAGAATTTTGCACGAAGGAGACGATGGTCCGAGCCCATTCGAAATTTTGGGACAACAGCGACATCAGTCAGGCAAAAACGTCGATTGAATATGATGTGGTCTATTTCGTTGTGGAATCGTCCACCGGGAGACTCCCATGTCCATCATTTAGATTCTGCCTTTTGGAACTGTGAGTTACCATGAATGGTCCTGGTCGACATGATGAACTCAAACAGTCTCTCACCCTGTTCGTTCCATTCTAGGCCATGGGTTCCGATGTGAAGTTCTTCAGCTGATCTTCTAGGTCCTATCTTGGCATTAAAATCATCCACAATGATCTTGTAGAAGGTGTGGTCTTCTTTACAGAACTTCTCTAGTTCCATGTAGAACTTCTCAATTTCTCCTTCATCATAATGAGATGTTGGTGCGTAGACAACGAAGATAGAAACTGCAGGCAGTGAGCCACATCTATTCAAATGTAAACGTCCGATTCGGGTTGTTAGGCATTCGAATGAATCGATGGTCTTGGCCAAGTTTGTGTTGACAAGGACACCGACGCTTCCAACACCTCTTTTATCGCTTGTTCCGAAGAACAATTCTTCTCCAGTGTCGAAAACGGCATGGTGAGATTCGTGCCTTCTTGTCTCGGTCAGACCAATGATGTCGTACTTGATCATTCGCGCTTGTATCATCAGGTCCTCAATGGATGCATCTGATGCTAGCATACGTGCATTGAAAGTACAGACGATCATTTTTGTCTTCCTTCGTTGTGGCAGCCTAGGTCGGCCTTGAGATTTTGCCGGCCTCTCCTTTCTCATCCTTCTCAGTGCTGCCATGTCAGTGAAGCCTTCAGGGTCAGGTGAATGAGACCAGTTGTAGATCCTGATGGATCGATCACATCCTCCAGAATGGCAATGGAGAAGATTATCCATGACTTCTACTCAAATCTCTTCGATAGCCATGTCCACTTGACGACATACCAAATTCCACAAGATGGATATGTTGTTCCCAATGTTCTCCCTTCCGAAATCCGACACACCATTTCGTCGGTAAAGAAACAAACAGCACCCGGCCCAGACAAGGTCAGACCTGAACACCTGAAGAACCTGCCGTCAGTACTCATAAATACACTGGCTCGGCTCTTCACTCGCTACCTGTCTGAATGCAAGGTTCCATCCCAATGGAAAACCAGCAGGACCATGCTACTGTTCAAGAAGGGAGACATCCATGACATTGGCCTGAGACATCCATGACTATCGCCCGATCTGCCTATTGTCTGTCATCTACAAGTTGTTCACTCGAGTCATCCTAAATAGGATTGGCAGAACACTAGATGAAGGACAACCATGCGAGCAAGCCGGGTTCTGCAAAGGATTCAGCACTGTCGACCATATCCACACGATAACCAAGCTCATTGAGGTTTCTCGGGAGTTCAAGATGCCGCTCTGTTTAACGTTCATTGATTTAAAGAAGGCCTTTGATTCTGTTGAGACGGAAGCGGTCATTGAAGCCCTAGCCAATCAGGGCATTCAAGCCCAATACATCAGGATCCTCCGTGAGCTGTATTGCGGATTCACTACCAGGATCTCACCATTCTACAAAGAAGTGATCATTGATGTCAAGAGAGGGGTGTGGCAGGGTGATATCATTTCACCGAAACTCTTCAGTGCCACCCTCGAGAACATCATGCGACGACTAGAACGGGAAGGAATGGGAGTGAAGATAGATGGTCGGCAATTACACCACCTCCGCTTTGCTGATGACATTCTTTTAATAACACCAAACATCAGCCAAGCCTCACAAATG